TTTTTTGGCGCATTTCTCTCAATTTTCAATTATACTTTATTATTTCATTTCTTAAAAATATATAAAAAGATTCCAAAAGAAATCAGTTAAAACGTTTTTTTTGACGCATTTGTCTTATTTTTTAATTTAAAAAAAGTTATTATAAAGTAAAAAATGTTTTGTAGTAAAAAACTAATGTTACTTTAATTAACTTAGGTTTATTTTACCATATTCTTCAACATACCCACAAAATCTCTAAAAATATATCAAAAGATTCTAATGGAAATCAGTGGAAACCTGTTTTTTTGACAAATTTGTCGTTTTTTTTAATTTTAGATATATTATTATATAGAAAATGGGGTTTTGTCATAAAATATATAGGTTTCTTTGATGTACTCAGGTTAAATTCACCATATTCAATATCAAACCTACAAAATATCTCAATTTATATGAAAAGATTCGAATAAAAGTTAGTGGAATCCTGTTTTTTTGATGTAATTGTCTTATTTTTTAATTTAAGATAAGTTATTATATAAAAAAATTATACTTTATTATTTCAATTATACTTTATTATTTCATTTATTGAAAATATATGAAAAGATTCCAAAAGAAATCAGTTAAAACGTGTTTTTTTGACGCATTTGTCTCGTTTTTTAATTTTAGATAGGTTATATAGAAATTGAGGTTCTGTCGTAAAAAACATAGACTTCTTTAATTCACTCATGTTTATTTTAACATATTCTCTAAAAAACCCACAAAATATCTAAAAATATATCAAAAGATTCTAAAAGAATGATCTCTTTTCGAATCTTTTGATATATTTTCAAAATACCTGTAAACCTGTTTTTTTGACGCAATGGTCTTTTTTTTTATTTTCTCTTTTCTTTATTCTCTTTTCTTTAAGATAAAAGGTTCTATCGTAAAAACTAAGGTTCCTTTGTTTCACTTAAGTTTAATTTACCATATTCTATAACAAACCCACAGTATTTCTGAAAATATATATAGATTCCTAAATAAATCAGTGGAAAAATTATTTATTGATGCATTTGCCTTATTTTTCAATTTTAGATACGTTATTTATATAGGAAAAAGCGTTTTGTAGTAAAAAGCATAGGTTCCTTTTATTCTCTCAGGTTAATATATTCTTCATGAAACATACAGAATCTCTATAAATATATTCTAAAAGAAATCAGTGGAATCCGGTTTTTTTAAAGCATTTGTTATATTTTTTAATTTTAAATAACTTATTATATAGAAAACGGGGTTTGTCTTAAAAAACTAAAGTTCCTTTGATTCACTCAGGTTTCTTTTACCATATTTTATATCAAAACCTCTGATTCTTTCAAAATATATCTAAACAATTTTAAAGAATTTAGTAGAAACTTGTTTTTTTTGACTAGATTGTCTATTTTGGTCAATTATAGATGGTTATTATTTAAAAAACAATTTTGTCGTAAAAAACATTGGTTTTCTTTAATTAACTCAGGTTTGATTTACCATATTTCATAACAAACCCACAGAATCTCTATAAATATATTAAATGATTGTAATTTAAATCAGTGGAAACCTGGTTTTTTAAAAGCAATTGTCTTAAAAAAGATTTATTTTTTTATATACTTTAACAAACCCACAAATCTCTAAAACTACATATCAAAAGATTCTCAAAAAAATAGATAAAACTCGTTTTTTAACGCGTTTGTCTTAAATTTAAGTTATTGATAAGTTATTATATAGCAAAAAGTTTCTTTGATTTACTTAGGGTTTTTTTACCAAAAACTTTAACAAATTACAAAAAATCCAAAAATATATCAAAATATTCGAAATTAAATAATTGGAAAACTGTTTTTTTGTCGCAATTGTTTAATTTTTTAATTTTAGATAAGTTATTATATAGAAAATGACATTTAGTGGTAAAAAACATAGGTTTATATAATTCACTTAGGTTTGATTTGCCATATTTTCTAAAGATCCAACAGAGTCTCTAATAATATATTAAAAGATTCAAAAACAAATCAGTGGATACCTGTTTTTTTTGACGCATATGTCTTTTTTTTTACTTTTGGATAAGTTATTAAATAAAAAAAGGGGTTTTGTCGTAAAAGGCAAGTTTTTTTTAACGCATTTGTCGTATTTTTTTAATTTTTTATAAGATATTAAAAGATTCTGAAAGAAATCAGTGAAAATCTGTTTTTTTAGCGCATTAGTTTTGATATTTTGATTTAGATAAATTATTATATTCTAAAAGGAAGTTAGTCGTAAAAAACATAGGTTCCTTCAATTTGCTTAGGTTCAATTTACCATATTCTTTAAAAAACCTACAGAATCTCTAAAAATATATCAAAAAGGTTTCCAAGGAAATCAGAGAAACTTGTGTTTTGACGATTTGTATTATTTTATAATTTTAGAAAAAATATTATATAGAAAAAAGGGATTTGTCGTAATAAACATAAGTTCCTTTAAATAACTCAAGATATTTTTCCATATTCTTTAAAAAACCTAACAAATCATTAAAATAATAAATCTAAAAAATCTGAAAGAAATCAGTGGAAACCTCGTTTTGATGCAATTGAATTTTAATTTTATTTTAGATAAGTTATTTTATAAAATATGGGGTTTTGTCGTAAAAATCTAAAGTTCCTTTAATTCGCTCAGGTTTATTGTACCATATTCTTTTACAAACCCAGAGAATCTCGAAAAATATATTTCGAAAGAGTCCAAAAGGTTTCAGTGGAAACCTGATTTCTTGGCATATTTGTCTTATTTTTTATCTTAAGATAAGCTATTATATATAAAGGTATAAAAATATTATATTATATTGGTAATTTGTGGTATAAAATTGGTTCCTTTAATTGATTCAGTTTTGACTAACTCTTTGAAACACCTAAAGACTCTAACATAATATTTCAAAACATTCTATGGGAAATAAATAGAAACCTGTTTTTTTGACACAATTATATATTTTTTAATTTTAAATAAGTTATTATATAGGTAATGGATTTTTGACATAAAAAACATAGGTTTCTTTGATTTACTCAGATTTATTTTACCATATATATATTTACCAAAGCAGCGGTGGCGCAGTGGTAGCGCACTTGTCTCAGAAACGTAAGATCCGTGGTTCGAGCCCCACCTCTGGGCAAGTTTTGCGACATCGGTTGGGAAGGAGGCGTGAACTTCCTATTAAATGCTCTTCCGCGGTGCTCTGTGATAAGACCTTAAGGACTTCTTGGGGCACCTAAATCAACATTAAAAAAAAATATATATATTATTTAGCAAACCCATAAAATCTCTAAAAATATATCAAAAGATTTAAGGAAAAATTAGTGACAACCTGTTTTTTTGACGCAATTGTCTTTTATTTCAATTTTTGATAAGTTATTATATAGAAAAAGGGTATTAGTCTAAAAATACAAAGGTTTCATCGAGTTACTCAGGTTTACTTTACCATATTCTTTAACAAACCCACAAAATCTTTATAAATTTACCAATTGATTTTAAAAGAAGCTGGTGAAAACCTATTTTATTGATGCAATCGTCAGTATTTTAATTTTAGATTAGTTATTATAAGAAAAATAAGGTTTTGTTCTTAGAAAAATAGAGTTTAATAAATTAGCTCAGGTTTACTTTAATCTTTAACAGAATCTCAAGAATTATATCATAAGATTACATAAGAAAGCAGTGGAAATCAGTTTCTTTGACGCATTTGTATTATTTTTCAATGTAAGTTAAGTTATTATATAGAAAAAGTGGTTGGAAAAAACAAATGTTCCTTTGATATATTTTATTTTACTTTATCATATTCTTTGTAAAACCCACAAAAACTCCAAAACTATCAAAAGAGATTAAAAAAGAAATCAGTTGAAATATGTTTTTTTGACGCAATGGTCTTTTTTTTTTAAATTAGATAAATTATTATATAGAAAAAGAGGGGTTGTCGTAAAAAAATAGGGTGTTTTTAATCTATTTTTAAAACTATTTGGAATCTCTTAGAATATATCAAAAGATTCCAAAAGAAATCATTGGAAACCTGTTCATTTGAAGCTATTGTCTTAAAAAAGGGGTTTTGTCGTAAAAAACAAAGGTTCCTATGATTCTCTTAGGTTTATTTGACCATTTTCTTTACTAAACCTCCAGAATCTCTAAATTTATATCGAAAGATTTTAAAAGAAATCAGTGGTAAACTATGTTTTTGACGCAATTGTCTTATTTTTTAAAATTTATGTAAGTTAATATATACAAAAAAGGTTTTTTCGTAAATAACAAAGGTTCCTTTGATTCAGTTAGATTTATTTGACTATATTCTTTACTAAACCCACAGAATCTTTAGTAATAAATCAGAAGATTCCAAAAGAATTCAGTAGAAATCTATTTTTTTGACGAAATATCTAATTTTTGAGTTTTAGATAAGTTAATATATAAAAAAGGGTTTTTTCTGTGAAAAACAACCCAGTCGGCAAAATTTACTTTTTTTCACGTAAACTTCTCGTGTCGCCGGAACGTGAATTTGACATTAAGTACGGGATACGAAAACGCGTGATAATAACCCAAATTATTTTGAAATTTTTTGAGTAAAATTCACGTCTCAGAAACTACTTTCACCTCGTTTTATTGGAAGGTATTTTTCACGAGAATAATACTAGTTTTAAAGTGTGAATGCAACGTCTTAAAATGAGTTAAAACTAGTATTCAAAACCTAATTTTAACGTGTAATTTTCGAGTTATTCATGGTGCAAAAAGGATTTTTTATAAAGTTTAAAGACTTGTATAAACACGTAAAAATCACAAGCTTTTGCTGGTTACAATAACTCCTAAATAAACTTAAAAATTAATTTAATTAGAAATAAACTTTAAAAGTTTATGTTAAAATTTTTATAAATAAACTTATTTTAAAGTTCATTTCTAATTAAACTAATTTTAAAGTTTATTTAGGAGTTATTTTTACAAGTAAAAACTTCTGACTATTTACCTGTTATTGGTTTATACAGGTCTACTGTTTAAAAACAACAACTTTTTTCCAAATATAAGTGTATTTCATATAATACCATTCAAAAAGCAACTAAATATAGATTATCTAACATTGAACCTTTATTAATAACAAATCCACACAAATAAAATATGCAGCATTTAATTAATTTTATTTGACATATTGTTGTAAAACTGTTAAACATACAAAACTGTTAAACATTTTAAGAAATAACTTGTAGTTTTTTTTATATCTTAAACACCATGGATATCGTTTTAAAATAAGAACTGCATTTGCTTTAGTGGTTAGGGCATGTCAAGCAACTCGTCTTTTCAGATATGTTGGATGATACTATCGGAGCATATGTTCCACTTCACAATTCTCTAAACCAACAAGTTCTCAGTTATGTGGCCTAATAATAGTAGTAATAATCATTAAAAATATTATTAACTAAATAATTGAACAAATTAATAATAAAACATACCTAACTTTCCATTTTCCATGGTTCCATTTTCAAATCCTAACATATAACTATTAATTAAAACTTATTAAAAATAATTTATTTTACAGAAAACTTATACATTTTTTATTTTAATAAAAAAAAGCTAATAAAAACCTAAACACTTACGTAGCCTGATTCCGTTAATTTAACTTTGATATTTAAGACGGGGGAAAACTGCTGAAATTTACATTGCTATGTCTATTTTTTCCTTATTTGCAGGCAAATCCTTTCTGAATAAACAAATATTTATTATAAAACTAATAAAAAAATTATATTAAAAATAGCAACATATACAACGAAAATGTAAAAATAAAAAACAGAATGATAAAGATCTTACACTTTTACGACTTGCATAATATATCAACAAAGATATCTAAAAAAACAATTGAAAAAGTTATTTTGATTGTATTGAATATATTTCATAACAAAAAAAAAACATTTGCATAAACATTTGTAACATTGTAAACATTGTAAACATTTGCAGCACTCTGATCAATTTTACAAAGTATATCATTATATCATATCAAAGTATATCATTCAAATTAATAAACAGAAATCATAGATCCTTTATTGTTGGTTCTCTCAAAAATATAATTTGAATAAAAAAAATAGTACCTTAGTAGGGGGTGGCATTAGGACTTTTCTTTAAATTGGTGCAATAGTACAGCTTGAGACTGTTATAAACCAATTGAAGGTACAACTACACATGACCGTAAAAATTGGCCCATTTAAAAAACTAATGTAACATAAAAATAACGAATAAAAATACCAGATAGTTTGGTAGCCAATTCTTGCTATAATCTGTCAACTTTTAGTATTTTTCTTATGATAAATTATTTTTATTATTATTAAATTGTTTACTTTACTAATTATAACAAACATTTTATATAAATTGTTTTAACAAAAATAAAGACAATAGTATTCTTTTAAAAATAAAACAGCTTTATATATTTTAATATCTACATACATATCATATTTGTAACCTTACAATAAACTTATAATAAAAAGATGGCTGGCTAATCATACAGTATTAATTAAGTAAATAACATCAAGCCATTTTAGTGAGCTTTCTGCATTAATCAAAGACGCCAACCTTTCCAAAACTTAGCTAGAAAGCTACTTGCTCATATAGAGTGCCTATATAATACATATATACCATGTAATGTATTTTCATTGTGAAACAGGGTTGACTTGTTCCTGTACAGGAAGGTAGGCGCCTGTACAGGAAGGAAGGCAAAGGCGCTAAATTTAATAACCATATAATATTTTTTGGGTGTTTTAGCAGTTATCTTCACGTGAAAGAAACTACTAGTACGAGAAGACGTTCTACTAGTTTAGTTCACGCAAACTCAACTTTTAACAATCTTTTTGGCAATTTACTTATAAAAATTTCCCGTGAAAATGATGTGTAAAAAACCACCCCTAAACTTTTTTGCTGACATTAAAACATGTATTGAAAAAATCTTGTAAAAATAAACACTGGTAAAATAGCATATTTTAACATATGTACAAAATATAACATAACAAAACATAACATAACATGGTAAAAATAAACACTAAATGAAATATAACAAAACAAAACATAACATGGTAAAAATAAACACTGGTAAAATAGCATATTTTAACATATGTACAAAATATAACATAACAGATGTAATAAATATAACATAACTCCAGCACATATTTACCTAAAATTGTTTATGCACTTTTAAAACATACAAAATCTACCTATAAAACACAATAACAATAAGAATCTTAATATTAAGACAACAAATTACTTTCATGGTTTTTTTATTGACTCTTAAAATAAGATGAATGTTAGGCTCAGCAAGTAAATTTATTCAAACCTAAAAGCAGACTGTAATTCAATTTAAACTAAACAATAATAACAAAATAAGACAGCTTTCTAAATACGAGAATAAAGTTTTATCAATCTAAATGCACTCTATATCTTTTTTTTGAATTTTTTAAGTACTCTGAAATTTCCATCTTCACAATTTTTTCAGACATTGTTGGGAATTTTTTAACAACGACAGTCACAATACATGATAAGAGTAAGGGCAACTCACGTGACATAGATATATGGTCGACATAATTCTTTTTTGGAACATTATTGCCATATAGAACGTTTACTTTTTCTTGAAATGGCAATGACATTACAGAATTAATAATAGTTCGAACATGTTCTTTTGCAGACCTACAAGAAAGTGACATTGTTTCTAGAGATTTACGAACTTTCCTTGCGAAGTCAGTATTTTGTAAATGTCCTTCAAGATCCTTAAACTCAATTACCGTTTCTGCTTTATTTATTAAATCAGCATCATCTGCATTTATAGTAGATATGTAGTTCTGCATCAACATAACTTTATTATTTAATTTTTTCATTTCATTTCTAGTATCGGTGATTAGATATAGCATACGATATTGAAAGTTGCCTATCTCAACAGGAAAATCCTCCTGTCTTAACAGCTTTGGACGCCCTAAAGGTCGATTTTCAATGATGCTTTTTTTGTGCTGTTTTTCAAAGGACTCTCTGACCTGATTATCAGATATTGAACAAATGCTTCGATCTCTTATTTTTGTGACTTTTTCAACAAAATCTAAAAATACAAAAGCTTACATTTTAATATTTATACCTTTTACTTTTTACATTCATATCCTATACTATTTGACAGCAAACTTAGTTTGACAAAATATTACCCAATACAGAAACGCATTTATAGTATAATTGCAATACAGTACATATAAGATAAGTTTACACAAAGTTTAGACATTGTCAGCCAACAGGGAAAAACTTCTTGTGTAGTCCAAAACATATAAATCTATACTAATATAAATATTTATAAACTATACTAATATAAATCATTTATATTATAAAACTATACTAATATAAATATTTATAAAACTATACTAATATAAATCATTTATATTATAAAACTATACTAATATAAATCATTTTCCTTGTTTTTTGATGTGTTTGAAGGAGAAGTTGATTCAACTTCAATGTCCACATGATGAGTGAAATCTGCTTTATTTCCCACATGATAAGACACAATTGGGGTAACTTGATTTACAAATTCTTTTTCAAGAATTTTATTGCTTTCAGATCTAACAGGGTTATGCACCTCAGTATTGCTGTTCCCTAATAAGCTGCTGGTTGGGGGAAAATATGGGTAGCCTTCTAAACCAATGCCACCAAATTTAACTATGGTAAAAAAAAAAATTAACTTGAAACTAAAATTTTATATCAGAGCACTATTTAAGTAACTTTTGAAAGTATTACATACTGATAAATAACTTTTATCAGTATTACATAGAGATAATTAACTTTTGAAAGTATTACATACTGCAAGGATTAATTTTTTTAATGACATTCTTCTGTTTGCCTTCATCGTCATCTGTAGTCAACAAGCCATTATGCTCACATTCATTGTACGAATCTTGAATACAAAAATACATCACCAAAGATTACCAATGTTATGTTTATATGTTAGGCTAATTAAACGTAAACTTTAAACTTTAATTGACATTTTTATAGTTTTATTATTATAGAATTAATAGAATTATAGTTTTATTATTATAGAATTAATAGAATTATAGTTTTATTATTATTAACTCATGGAATTTCACAACTTGTTCTTTAACATTTAATACAATCACAAATGATTGATGAATGAATGAAAGTCTAACTATTTAATGCTTTGACCTACTATTGACAGTATCAATATTTTATATAGTTATAATAAAAATTGAATTTTATATATTCAATATATGAAATACAATGTTAATAATAATTTTGTTAATATTTCACTGAACTTATTCTTCAACATATAACAGTACATGACATTAGAATTATCTTATTCTATCTCTTCTTTTATTAGTTTTGAAATAAAACGATTAGGAAAAATAATTTATTATGAGACAGACCATAACTATTTTTTTATTAGTTATGTTTTCTCGAAAGTTATGTTTCACTTAACTTAGCTTTTGATACAGTAGAAAAACATTATATTAGGTACGTAACCATGGGAATAAGCCAATTTTTTGTGGAGAGAAATTGGAAAACAATATAATTCTTTTATCACGTTTTATCACAAGCTCTGCAGAAGGGTTAATTTCACCATTTAGTCAAATTGAACTAAGTACACAAAACTATAAATAATTTTTTTTATATAAATGATGAATTAGTGATTATGATAATGTATAAATAGAGTCTTAAAATTCATAAATAAAATATTAGTTAAATGTTAAACATTCAAAACGCTCCCCTGTAAAATCACATCTGTGGCACTTAACACTTCTGTGCATAATGCCATCTATATGTACTTAGGAGTTTTTTTTATAGTATTTTATTAAAAATAGTGAAAGCATATTAAATTTCAGTTTACCACCAACATTTGTTAAATGATTACTTTATCTTTTGAGCATTTAACTAAAAAAAACTTGTATACCATTGATGTTTCAAAATTGTTAAAAATAATGAAATAAATTTAAAATAAAATTTCTTTTAAGTGACATTTTAAGTCAAGGAAAATCAAAAATGCTAGCAATAATAAGTAAGACATTATTAAAAATATTAAATAGTTTTGACAATATAGTATTTAAAGGATAAAAATAACCATAATTTTCTAACAATTACAATTTTAACAAAACATTTAGAAACTGCATTGTCTGACAAAATGTCTAATTACAAAAAATCTTACTACATGAATACTTGACTTTTATGAGTGGAAATTCTAACCAGTTTGATTCTGGTGCCACACATTTACGTATCATATCGGTAATCTTTGAAGTTGGTTTCGATGGGTAAAAAGCTTTGCCATTAGCCACCCACAAGGTTGGGTTAACACCAACTGTTTCCTTCTTCTTTTCAATCCACACTGCTGCAACATAGCGATCCATGTGATTCTACAAAGAAGAAACCTTTTTGATTTTACCAGATTTCTATAACAATGAAAAAATACTTAAAATGAAGTTATTATTTTTTGCATCTATAAATGTAAAACAATGTACTAACATTTAATATTAGTGTGAAGTGGAATAAAGACCATGTCGTTAACTTTATATGGTAACGCGTATAATTTTCGAATAGTCATGTTGTTCAAATTGAAGCAAAGTTGCGTTGCATTACAGCAAAGTTGGGACAATACAAAATATTAAATTTTTTACTTCCTGCATGCAGTTCAAAAAAGCTTTCCAAATAATTTAACTTTATAATGTCACAAACAAAATTCTTATTTGGTTTTACTTGTTTAACTTCACACACTTGATCATCAATCATAAAGAATCTATCACGCCTTCTGGTAGACAACTGAGGAAAACTATCTTCTTCTGGTTTTCTTACAAAAAACAGTCTTTTCTCTTAAAATTTTTTTTGAAACAGTTAGAATAGGATTTTTATGTGAATCTCGAACAAGACGTTTCAATTCTTGAAGGTAATTTTCAAATGAGAAGCAGCTGATTTCATTTAATGAGCATGAGAAATGTTCACAGTCATCTGGCAAATGGATAAGGCTGTGAACATTATACGATACAAATGAACAACTAAAAAGAAAACTTGCATTTCTTACAAACACTTTCAAAAGATCCCTAGCATAATTTAACAAGGCATTTTTTAAATCACTCCCGGAGCATAAAATTGAAACACCAAGTGATAATGACAAAAAAAGTGTGTATAATTCATTACTAATAACACCACGTAGTGCAACAACACCAGTATACATAAGAAATTGTTTTAGTTCTGTTGCCTTCCATCTATAAAGTTCGGACAACGAACGAGGTTTTCTAACAAATTCAGAAGGAGTGAAATCAGCATAACTAACTAATCTATCAGAAACAATGTTACGTTGTGCAATACTAATTTTAGCCCGACCGGACATAATCAGAAAATATAAAAAGCGTCGTACAACTCCTAAATACACTAAATGCATATGGTCCAGAGCAACATCCGATATTATGTTTAGTCCAGATATTTGCAATAAAGGACTATCTTCTACTTTATCTTTACTGTAATGCTTTGTGTAAAGTTTCTACGAAAACCTTCATCAGTTCGAGCTTCACACCGATCATTCAAAAATACTACACGGTTGCTATTATGAACACCTATCACTGTACATCTTTCACAGCTGTGTTTTCCAGTATGACCTTGAATATTCCAGTATGACCTTGAATAACTTCTTGCCGGGGCATCACATAAAAAAGCTCGAATATGAATTTTATATATTCTTTTGCCTATTTTAAAACCATTAATTTTTAAGTCATTAATTTCAGCAACAAAATCAAGAAGATACTCTGCAGATGAATTTGGTTTTTTCTTTCCATAGTATAAAGCTACAACAAATGGTGAACACTTAATATCCACAAGAGAACATAAAATTGGCCAAAATTCATTCGATGAGCTTTTTGTCAAGGGCAACCCATCAATATTTACATCAATTCTTATTATATTCAAACATATGATATATTTTTCATCAATAGCATTTAGAGCAAATAATAAAGATTCCTTCAATCCTAAATAAACATAAGACCCTCCACATTTATTTTCTGCATTTATTTTTATAGGAGTGCCATAAATTGTACGTGGATCAACAGGTACTTCACCATCCAAAAAGTGTCCACTGTCAGCAAGTAATTTTAATAAGCTAGCAATGGCATCTCGAGCTTGATGAGTTGCTGTAGCCCACACAGCAAGTTCCATTAAAAAACCTTTGCTTTTCTTTTTATTTGTACAAGAATGTTCCAATTTATTTTCTAAATAATCAGTATTAAAGTTATCTGCTTCTAGAAGTTCTGAACATTGCTCATCATATGTTTTTAAAGCACTTAAAAGACATGCATGTGATTCACTTGATAATTCAAAATCATTATCAGATGGGCAATTACCAATAGCAAGCATTTCATCATCCTGGCAAATAGCATTGTGTAATGATGCTTTAATACTTCTATGTTTTCTTTTATACATTGTTCTTTCACTCATTCTAGATAAATCTTTCAAATACTTTTAATATTATTAATTAAAAAATTTTACTTAAACAAAATTTACATATTTTTAAGTTTATATTTACTTTAGCATCAAGAAATCAAATAGAGGTAGCAATAGATAATAAGTTGTATTGTCATTATTGTACATAATAAGTTTTATCGTCATTTGTTACAAATGATAAATTTAGTTTTCAGAATTAAAAGTAGAGTTGTAAAGTTCTGTAACAATTCACTTTATATTGTTGTAATTTTACTTCATACTATTGTTGTAATTGTACTTTATATTGTTGTAATTGTGTTTTATGTTGTATTTCATGTTGTTGTATTTGTACTTAATGTTGTTGTAATTGCACTTCATATTGTTGTTACGCCACTTTTTTTTACTTTATAATCACATAGAGAATCTGAGAAAAACTCATCTGGCATACCCAACAAAAAATGTTCGGTACGCCTTTATTTAAAGTACTATATTGTATTATAATTCTTTGAAAGTTGTACTTTACTAATTATATACTAATAAATGTTGTAAATTATAAAATTTGTTCATATAAAACATAATTATAACATATACATATATATAGTTATATTTTATATATATTTAAATTTTATAATTTATAGAAATTATGTATTTCAAAGTGTAAATTTTAAGATTTAAACTTAAAGAAGAAACGTTTAAGATTTAAACTTCAAAACTTTAAAAGATCTTTTAAAATGTGCAAATGTGCAGAAGATCTTAAGGTCTTGTGCACATTTTTTAAAAATAATATATAATTTAAAAAATTTGAAATACGTAAAACTTAATGCATTCACTTACCACTAATTTGATTGAGCAAGAGATTTTGAAATAAATACTCAAATTCTGAAACTCAATATATATATATATATATATATATATATATATATATATATATATATATATATATATATATATATATATATATATATATATATATATATATATATGTATATATATATATGTATATGTATATATATATACATATATATATATACATATATATATATATATATATATATATATATATATATATATATATATACATATTAAAAATCTAAATTTATATATATATATATATATATATATATATACAGAGAAAGAGAGAGAGAGAGAGAGAGAGAGAGAGAGAGAGAGAGAGAGAGAGAAAGAGAGAGAGTTGTTTAAAGCAGCTAAAGAAATAGTTGTTTAAAGCTGATAAGTCAAACTTATGTAACGCACGTTGTATCTAAATATTAATAGCTGAGTGAATATTATTATTAGTGCGCATAGTTACGTATTGTTACGCCTATTGTTCGTTTTGTTAATTACGGTTCTGCATTATGTAAAATACACTATTTCTTAGTTTTGAAGTTGTTTCTAGACTTTTCTAAGCGCAGTTATATATTCCATGCGGTCTTTCGAGTAAAATCAGCAAGCAAATTGGAGCTGATGCACTTATTTTCAAAAAGAATTAATGTTTATTTTTTAAAATAAAAATTTAATTGTTAGTTTGTTGTTGCTTATTTTTATTTTTTCTAATTTTTATAGTCTGTTTTTATTTTTTAGAAGAAGTTAGAACTAAAATAGTTTTTTTAGTAAAATGTTTCTTTTTTAGTAAACTGTTTCATTTTGTCGTTATTCTTTTTAGAACATTTTAAGCAAGTATTATTTTATTTTTTAGAGCAGTTAAGAAAAGCTTATGGTTTTTTTAGTAAGTTCAGTTCGTTTTGTAATTTATAGATAAAGATTGTTTTTTTCAAAAATAATTATATATAAAATAAAGTTTTATATATGTATTTAATATGAAAAGTTAAATTAAATAAAACTGTTATTTGTGTTCATGTAAGCTTATATACATACGTTTGCATTTATTTTAGTCTATTTTATATTTCTCTATATCTATACTATATGTATATTTTCTTATAGCAAAAGTTATTCAGAATAGAAAAATAAAATAAATTCTTCTGGAATTTGTCAAAAGAATGTTGTGTTATGCTTCATTTTAAGGTATCTAATTATGTATTTATTTTTCATTTTTTAGAAGAAGTTAGAACTAAATTGACTGGTAAAATAGTTTTATTAGTACAATGTTTCTTTTTTAAGAAAACTGTTTCAGTTTTGTCATCAGTCTTTTTAAAACATTTTAAGCAAGTATTTGCTTTATTTTTTAGGGCAGTTAAGACAAAATGATCGCTTTTTTAGTAAGTTTACTTCATTTTCTCATATATAGGCTAAGATTTTTTTATATAGAAAGAATAATGAGAATAAAATTTTATTTATGTATTTTATATGAAAAGTTAAATAAAATAAGACTGTTATTTGTGGTCATGTAAGTTTATATACATAAGTTTGCGTTTATTTCAGTCTATTTTATATTTCTCTATATCTATATGTATATTTTCTCTAAGGAAAAATAATAAGGAATAGAAGAATTTAGAAAATTTGCTCTGGAATTTGTCAAAAGAGTGTTGTGTTATGCTTCATTTTAAGGTATCTAAATATATATTCATTAGAAATTTTTAATTTTCTTTTTAAATGGTTTATTCTTTTTCACTACTTTAGATAAATATATACTGACTGACATAACTTCATTTTTATTAACAATGTCGTGCATTGTAGTCTGCATTCTTTGTTACATTTAAAATAATTGATGCTAATAAATGTTGTTTTATAGTTGTTAAAAGTTTGCATATATGTTTGCATGTATATATGATCAAAGTTAAAATTTTTTTGATAAATACGTGTATGTGGTGATACTACTCAGGTATCACCACAGCTTATCTCTATCAGGTACATTGATTTTCAATTCACATATGATGTTTTTTTTTGTATTTATTCGTTACATTTTTAACTTCAGATTTATGGTGTATTTATTTGCTATAGAAGAACAAATCATTTTGAATTTTTTAAAAATATATACACCAATCAACATTTAAAGTTCAATGTTGCATATACCATTTTTAAGTAGCTTCTAGGCTTTTTTGATGCTTTTTTTATTCAAGTGGTTTCATAAGCAAAGTCTACAAGCAAATTTGAGATGAAAAGTTTTTCAGCTTTCAAGGAGTATCAATGTGGTTTTCTGTTTAATATAATTTGTTTAAATAGAGTAGTTTTAGTAAATAAATGTTTGTTTGTTCTTGGTTTTTTACTTATTTGTTTTCAGATTCTTAAGAACTAGGCAACTTAGCGAAACAAGATTTATTTTATTTTTTAGTGCAATTGGAAAGAGCTTAAGTGCTTTTTAGTCACTTCAAATCATTTGTTTCTTTTTTTAAATAGAAGAGTTAATAATAAAAATATTTAGACAGTCGAACTGTTACTGATTTGAGTAAGTTTAATGTTTTGTTTAATTTTATATTAGATATATATTTTATGTATTTAATATGAAAAACTGACTGTAATTTTTGACAGGTAAGTTTATATACATAAATGTGCCTATATATCAGAATATTATATATATTTCTCTGAATCTATATGAATATTATCTCAAAGAAAAAATTAAGAATAGAAAAAATTTGAATATATATACATACTTATATATTACTTTAGACATTGCTTCATTTTTATACAAGATTCTGCATTTATTATTTTTGTTTATTACGATTGTGCCTGAAGGCTTTCTTAATTTAGCAAAGAATTTAGAACACAATGCAAATAACTTTGCACTGTGTTCTAAATTCTTTGCTAAATTAAAATAATGTCAATAAATTTTGTTTTATATTTTTCAGTTGTAAAAATATAAAACGTTCATTTATTCAGTTGTGACAGTAGTATAATCACTGGTAATATATATTTAATGATAACAGATGTATAATATTAGGCTCGAAGAAGTTATTACTGCAAATGGTTATAGGTGACTTGAAATTGTTGTCATATGAAAGAAAGAAATCTAGGCGTGATAAAATTAATTGTCGTTGAAATATAAGAAATTTTGCTTGATGAACCAAAAACTTACTTGGCAGAATTCAGTGTCAAGCGGTATTGATGTCTATTATTTGACTTTACATTAGACACTTTAAAATAAAGCAAAGTATGAATTTTTGCAATTTTAAACATAATTGTGTTCATTTTTTTTTTAGTTGTCATCACTTGATTATTTTGCTTACTGTTGAAACATGGTTTTAATTTTGTTAATTTAATATGATGTGAAATTTACAATATTAATCATTTATCAACAGTTAGAGAGAAGCTGGAAATTAATTAAGAAATGCTGGAAATTAACTTTTAGTTAAGGTAAAAATAATTTTGTTTATTGGAAGCATAATAAAACCAGTTACTGTTATTTATTGCATGACTTTTTTACTTTTTCTAACATGGTGTTTTTAAAACACTTCCTGTCTCTCTCTTAGATGAGACTTATATAAGAATTAGTATTGAGAATTGTAGAGAGAGAATTGATTAAACTCTGTAATTACTGAGCTCTGATTAAACTCTGTAATTACTATGTTCTTGCGTATTTTTTAATACTGCAATTGATAATTTGCTATTTAAAGATATAATTCTTTAAATTGTCCCTTGGTTGTTCAAATATTGTAATAAAATCTTTTAAGTTTCAAGTATTTTCTCTTAGGGATCGTCTATATATTACGTAACGCGAAATTAAACATAGACAAAAGAAATATCTCAAAAACCGTGTTTCTCTCATGGTCAACTATATGCTGCATTTTCAAGAACTATAGCATTTAATAGTTTGTTTTTCAAAATTGATTAACATCTTATTCAAGGTATAGTAGGTAAAAAAATATCATAAATATTGTTATATTTTTAAAAGTTCTTAATTTATAGTCTTTAGATTTTCATTTCGAAAATTTACTGTTAAAGGTTGTGAGCACATTTTGTATGTATAACTTTATTTATCATTATTTATTTTTTTTTCATAGTTTTTGGTAAATATATCTATCATTCAATAGTTGTAAAATGTGTTTATACGTGTTACATAAAGTCATATTTGTTTATAGTTATATATGTTTAAATTATAAAAGCCAAAACAACAATTTATATCTTAGTTTGAT